TTTCTCACGCTATTCGATTGAAAGATAATTGAATAGGGGCAGTTGTCGTACCCCAAATTTGTCCTACCTCGATGATTTTATTTTTCAAGGTTTAAACAGAATAAATAAGGATGGTACAACAGTATCTGATGGACTATCTTTATCAAAGACTAGGAAATGTATTTTAATAGGGGATTTTAAATTAAAAAGACTCATAAACTCATTCGCGTAGCATGTTGGCCAATGGCCCATGCGATTTGAGGATAGAAAATTATTTCAAAATAATAACTATTAAATAGTTGTTATTGTAGAGGTTGAAATTAAATTAAGTCTACTTAAGTTTAAGTTGCTATTAATTAATAATTGATTTTGTTAAGGGCATTTAGGTGTTATTTCATTGTTAGTAAAAAGGGTGGTGACAATTTACTTAGTTGGACCATTTCTATTTGGCTGTATAAACAAGGATGTGTATAAGGTCCATTAGGATGGCACATCTAATGATTAGAGAAGAAAAGAAAGATTCTTGCTGAGATTACTGTTTTTGTTTCAATAGAAAAGAAATAATATTATTAAAAAAAGATGTTTGTTGTTTTAAATAAATAAATAAATAAATAAATAGTATTTGCTTCAAGAGATAAGAGTGGAGCGTTTTTTATTTTTACAGTAATGTTTTTAATGTTTTGTTTAGTCATTAAAAAAAAAGAGCGCTGGGCTAAAGGCCAATTGGGCCCGGGTTGAAGAAAAGTGCTTGCTGTAATAAAAAAATAGTTTCACTGGCCAAACAAAAAAACTGGGAAACGCATACTGTATCAATCATCACCAAAATACGCGGATTCTTTGCAACAAACAGACACTTTTCAGATTAAACCAAAATCATATCTTCTCAACTATTATCCAAGCCCAACATATCTTATTAATCCAAGTCAAATAAATCAATTATGCAAAAATCCAATATCAGTACAATCTTTTACAACAAATCTGAATCTGTAATTTACAAACTCAATCAATTTCAATCCCTAAATCTATTCAAATCATAAAAGAAATTCATTCTAAATCCTAAATCAAAGAGATCAAACCGTAACGACAAAAATTCAAAACCCTAAAATACTACATATATAAACTAAGAGAAGAAAAGTACAGAGGGAGGATT